CTTCAAAGCACGTCAACTTTAATGACGTAGGGCGTGGAACATGATGGCTGCCGCCCAGACCTGGCCGTCTTGATTCGAGCCATCAGTGTAAACACGTCAACTTAACCTGCAACTTCGTGCCCTTCAATTTGCTGATACGGGCTTTGCTGTTCGTCGACATCCAGCTGTCAATTTCCTCGTTGATGGGTTGTGAAATGAAGATGCAGTAAGGAAGACATACCGGACAACGGCGTGGCGTGCAAGTCCACCTCTGCCTTGCTCTTGGTCACATTGAAGGTTAATTGGAACCCTGTAATAACTTTGCCAATTCGCTCCGCAAAGTCGTGGTGGAGCGTTATGATGATGCCCTTCAATTTGTTAAATTGTGAATGTCCTAGTTGTACATGAAAACATCTATCCAGGAATACCCCTCAACACCCAACACCTTTCTCCACCTGTGCTTGGTGCCTTCTGATGGAGCCCATGGACTTCGAAGCATAGCTCAGTCCATGACTTAGGAAAGTCATTTTTTATTGTTGCCAGAAATGTTTGTGCTTTCTTCTCTACTTCATCGAAGTGGATGATTGCATCAATGTCTGTCTGTCGAGTCAAATCATACTCAAGCCCGTGCTCTTGCTCTTCAATAGCTTGTATGATCTTAGGAGCCACCTAAGTACTATGAAAAGATGAATAATTTCAACTCTCACCTGAACTACTGCGCGTGATACATCAGTAATCAGATACCCTCCTGGAGGAGGACGATCAAAAACAGATGGTTTCGAATCACCGAATAAAACTACATGTAATACCCGCCGAAGCACCTCATCACCGATCGTGCCCTTAAGGTCGTGTGAGAACTCAGCTGACGGTTGGGGCTCCTTGCTTACCTCTTTGACACGTATGTATGGCGCAGTATCCAAGATGCCAGCCGCCTTCCCTGACGTAGCAGACAAGTGGGCATTGTATAGGTCATATTCTTCTCGGATGCAAAGCCTCGCTTCCTTTAAAGCAAGGCTTGCATGCTTCAGGTTACCCAAAATGGCCGAATTCCCGTCCGCTAGGTGATTATTAGGATACCGTAGCCCATACAATACTTGTAATGCATGGCTGGAGGAGATGTATTTCCGAGCCTGTTCGAATGACATCCCTAGAGCAGGGGGAACGTATTCTGAAGGTCGATGGCGATTGCTACCTGCCTTTTGAACCGGTTGAGTGCCTATGGATTCAGATTGCGAGAGTGTGGGGAAGAACTGATGGTACATTGCTGTGACTGCATTTCGTAAAAGATTGCATGTCAACCGAACATCGAGGGAAGACGTGTGCGCCCACAGTGCAGCATTGACGTCGCTACCATTCCAAACATGAGGGAATTCGAGGCGGGTTGAACTGAATGTCCGAGAAAAGATATGTGTTCGGTGAGCTTGATTGACATGATGAATTAGGCCCGAGATCTGAATCACAGAAGGTCGTACTATAGCCAGGTAGAACGAGATGAGTGGGGCAAGGCTAGGAGGGAATGCCCACAGGCACTCTCGTGTAACTTGATTGATTTGCTTTGCTTCCGGATTCCCTATAACAAGCTCCGAGCCTAGTAGATAGAGATTACGAGCGCTGCCAGTGCTGCTATCTGACTGGAATAGTAGGGATCGAAATTGCCAGTGACGAGGAGGAATACCGCATGTCAGGAGAAAGGCGACGATAATTGGACTAAGAATTCGTTCATCGAAATCCAGCCACTGTCTTGCGCATTCTTCATTGATCAATGAGGAAGAACACATGATATGATGTTTAGGTTCTTCTGGATCCATCAGACGTTGTAACATCATGTCCAACAGTGGCTGTAGAAGAACGCGATTGGAAGGCTGAAGGAAAATGGCGTGGGGACTACTGAGGTCGTCCACTAACTGGCTGAAAATACCATGAAACTGCTGAAGAAGGCCCTGGCAGCGGTCTGGCAAGCACTCCATTATCTGTTCTGATACATCTGCTATTGCAGTCTCAGCTAATCTCCCAAGATCTGAAAAAAGGATACCCTGGGAGATATCACCACCGTTTCGCATGGTAATGGCAGTGCCGTCTTCAGCAAAGATAAACCCGTAGTTTCTCTGCTCTTTGAACGCTGTCAACCTTGCGGCAAACCAGACAGTTTTCATTTGATTGTACGGTGTGGCAAACGAGGGGTGACTGGCGATCAAAGGCTGAAGGTAGGGTAGGTTCTCTGCCAAAATGCTGCAGGCAAAGTAGGTAAGCGTAATAACCATTACAATCAAGCTTACTTTAAGACGGACGAGGATCCAGGAGCTTGATCGTTTCTGGATACAAATTTTGCTGAACATCGTTGAGCTGGAAGGGAAGACTGAGAGTCATAGTATGTGTCTGAATATGTCGTTCAGATTAGTGCACTGTATGCCATCCTTAATTCGTGCCTCACCTAGGTTCTCTGCAGTGTCGCCGTTCAGATAGTAAGAATGGAAAGTTTCCTCTTTTTCAAAATCCCATTCGCCTTCGGCTTCATGCGGTAGCATAAACTCTCCCTCTTCTGAGTCCATATCATCGTTATGATCATCTACAAACTCTTCCTCCACCTCCTCAAATTGCACAATCACCGCACTATCATCGGCACCTTCCCTCTCATCCGGGGGGACCGGAGCAGCGGCTGACTCCTCCATAGGCTGAGACGCCTCACCTGTATCCGGTACAGGATCCAGGGTGAAATTATCCAAACGAAAAGGAATGAAACTTTGGTGGCCGTGGTCCTCAAGCCGAGCCGAGTGGATGATGACGGTATAGAAGTTGTGCTGCAGCACCGCACAAGTCTTGGTGGCAGTGGAAGCAAGGAGAAAGCCGCCGTTGTCAGCCAGTGAGCCCATGCATAGGGCGTAATCTGTAGGGCATGCCATCATTTCTAAGTCCGTAAATTTCTGTTTGACGAGGGTCACTAGCAGTTGATGCAGAAGTTGGAGAAGTGCAGCAGGACGGGGAATCTTGGTTGTAATGAGGTAATGGTAGAGCATGTTAGCAGCGTACTCCTGAGCCAGACTCCGTCTAATGTGAAGAGTACCGAACGCCGCCAAAGTCCCGGTGCGCTCTGCGTGGATCCATCTGATGAGCATACAGATGCAGCGAGATAGAGGTCTGGAGTAGGTGTAGTAGGAAAGTCGGCTCAGTGCTCTGAAATGCGCCTTCGTGCTGAGTAGACCATGAGCTATGTATAAATGGATGAGGAGGGTACTCACTGTAATGTCACTGCTTGACGAAACTGCAAATCCCCTTTGGAAGACAGATAGGTCTGGATGTCAACTAGATATGACCTGTAGAGCTTTCGAACGGTAATGAGGCCGAGCTCAAGCTGCCTTTTTGCTCCCCTCAAGGATTGTGCTTCCTTCTTAGACATAAGCTTTATAAGCCCGCGAAGAGAGTCCGCTTGTGCACCCAAGCTGGTGATGAAGTTGGGCCACCGGAGGTCAATTGAATATTGGGGGTAGAGAGGAGTTGTTGGTATAAAATGAGAGGAGATTTGCAAGGGGGAGGGCAGTATATCTTCTACAGGAAGTACAGGAGTCCACCCTTCAGCCAAAGGCCAGACAAGTGAAACCAGTGGGTCGTTTGCATCCACAATTTTGTTGAATGGACGATAAATCCATCGAGTTTCAAAACTGTCAGCTAGATAAGTGGCTGCATGCTCGGGATGAACTGCAGTGACATGACTCCTAGTATTTATTTGCTGACTCTTGACAGAACCTCTCGATATCTGCATCAAGGACCAGAAGGAGCAGCCAGGGTGCGGACACATTGATGACCACAGTGGCTGAAGGCCTTGAATGGGGCCAGATAGGTCACCAGTAGGGCTAGGACAGGGTGTTGTTGCTACGAGTCCATGGCTCTTAAGTAGATGCTTGACTAAGCCCTCTCTATACACCGTTGTTCTGTTTGGGAGCCTACGTTTATGGTGATTATGCCCCACATGGCCACCTAGAAGGCGGGCTGGTACTAGAGCAGAACTGATCTTACAGATGAAACCATATGGCCCAAATGACATTCCTAACAGTTCAAGCACGGGACAGATGGAGGTAGGAAGGGAGAAGAGTAGTCCTGAGTGGATTGGGGTATGGGAGTGCTCACGACAGGTAGGCCCACCATTTGATGTGGGAGAGGACTGGCCAGAAGGCCCATCCAGGCGAGGGTGCTTTGGGACCTTATCACTATTATGTTGCATGCCCTTAGGCTGCCCGCGCTTTACTGTGGGCATGTAATGTACAGTGAGGGACTATATTGAACCACATCAACAAAAGAATCGCTTGCGTGTATGGCCGGTTACTGCCTTTTATGGTTTACAAACCCCGAACAGACTGGTATATGGTATGTATGAGATTGTACCGTATATGCAAGTAGTAACAGATATGTGCGAAATGTAAAGCTTGTGCCGGAAGTGTGCGAAGCTTGTACAATATTAAACAGAAGTGTTGAGGCACACATGAGATTGCAGCCTGTATACAAGTTCTAGCAGACGTGTGCCACATGTAAAGTTCGTACACGAAGTCTGCAAAGCTTACAAAGTAACTAACAGAAGTGCGGAAGTACATATGAGATTGCATGTAGCCTGTATCCAAGTCAAAACAGACATGCGCAAAGTGAAAACTCCTACAAGAAATGTGCGAAGCTTGTAAAGTACTAACAGAAGTGTGGAGGCGTGCATGGAATAGTTGCAGGTCCTATACAAGTAGTAACAGATATGTGGGGAATGTCAAGTTTGTACATGAAATGTGCATAGGTTGTATAATGATTGACAGAAGCACGGAGGTATGCATTATATCATAGGACATATGCAAGCTGTAGCAGAGATGTTTTGAATGTAAAGTGGTACACGAATATACGAAGACTGTTCAACCCATGAGATGATGCAGGCCCGACGAATATAGTACAGTTCCGAGTGACCTGCTGCTGTACACATGCAGATGATAAGAATATAACTAAGCGTAGTATCAGGTAGGGTACCTGAGTGCCTAAGGGATGCAACACGATCAGAATTCACTAAAACCCTCTAGTTCTTCATCACTGTCCTCGCCATCCTCTGCACCCAGCTCGTCATCAATCTCATCGTCCCCATCACCTTCAGTGGCATCAACGCCATCTCCATCCTCGCTGCATCTGTCTTCATCTTTGTCTTCATCCTCTTCAACCTCCTGCTGTACTCCGGAGTAGCCATAGTCGTCATAGTGGTCCAAATCAGACTTGTCACCTTCATCCAACTCCATGGCTTTGCCTCGAGCTAACCCTTCCTCGTCGTCCATCAGATCACTTTCGTCATCATTGCTGCCTTCGTCCTCACTATGGGCTACTGCAGCGCTGGCATGATGTATGTCCAGTGGGTCACGATCATTCAGAAAACTGTTCGTTGCTTCGCGAGTTGTCCGATGACCAACGCCGCCCCCACGAAACCTCATAAGCATGTCTCGATCGACAAAACTGTTAGATATCAGCGGTAACATTCACCTATGACGACGACACCCACATATTTAGATAGAAATAAGTCCAGTCTTCGTCGTTGTCACTGGGATGACGGGGACGGGTAATTGATGGTGACATATATTCTGAGGTATGGCCATGAGCAAAGGCTGGGATAAGGTGAATTCCACGAATAATATGTTTTGGATCGATGAATCCAAATGCTCCAGAATCTTCATTTGGGATGAAGCCAAGTCGGTGTAGCCGCTTCACCTTCCAGCCTGAACGATGACTGAGATCACGGCCGAACCAACGTACCCATGCGAAGTCAATATGCACAGGATCATACGATGGTGAGTTGGCGGCGGGATCACGATAATAGACAAGTGCATGGAATATGCCAATAATCCTGGCATACCAATAAGGATGGCCATGAGCCTCGTCATCCTCGTGAGACAAGACCATTATATCGGCATGAGTCCTGGAGTTGAGCGAGTCTTGTTCTCGTCGTAGATCATACGTAGTGTAGTTAATGCGGATCACCTTGTGTCGATAGATACGATCATTTACAAATATCAGTCGGCTGCGCTCAGCAGTGGAGAAGGAGACTTCATCGCCGTCATAGTCGTGCCCGAGTAATCGTGTGAGGATATGATCTTTCAATCGGGGAAGAAATGCCTAGATATTTTAAAATACTGAGCGTTGTAGGATAGAAATCAAAGTCAGAAGTGCTCACGGTGAAAGCAGGATCACCTTCATTCTTCCTCAGCCATTGAGAGAGACCCAAAAAGTGGCGTGCTCCATTAGAGACATGGTAGTGTACTTGAGGATCAGTGTATGGTAGCCGTTCCGAATCCTCAAAGCGCAAGCACTGTGGATAGTGATTCCAATCAAAATCATTGGAAAAAGTACTGATGCTGAAATTTTCATTGAAACTTCTACTGAAATGGCAGGTAGTTAATTTCATTGGAGTGCTGAATCCAATTCAGCACCAAATTTCAGCACCATTTTCCAATGAATCCAATTCAGCACCACTTTCAGCTCTATTTTCCAATGAATCCAATTCTCCAGCTTCGTCTGGCTTAGGAGGAGTCGGAGGCACAACCTGATTGTGTCAGGCTGGTCCAAGCATTAGCTTGGGGAGGGACACAAGCAGGTGGAGCCGCTGGGAGGGGGGAAACCTGCTTGTGAATTTGGTCGTGCGCTAACTCTTGTGTGGCACGAATGACGATAAGCATCATGTTTATACATTCTAACAATTATGATAACACTGAAATACGCTCAGGCTGCAGTAACAGTCCACAGAGATATATAAGAGGGAGTGCTGGGTGGGGGCAAGGAACAGGAAATAATGAACAACGAGTTTGAAGAATGAATGTCGTAGGTAGTAGATCGAAAAATGTAGGAAAAGGGTGGTATATATTACATGTTGTAGTTGAACCTATCCAAGATCCCATGGTTTAGTGGTAGTGATGCTACGTACCATGGTTAAGGTCATTTGTTCAATTCCTGCCATTGGTGAATTCTAAATGGATAATAAGTGACACAGCGTACAAATGTAATGTGTGACATCCATGTCACAGTGCTTAGCAATGTTAGTTTTGTCATTCTCGAGCAGAATTTCAGCACATTATTTCAGAGTAAAAATTCAGTGCAATATCACTGAAATTTCAGAGTAAAAATCGGAATTTTCAGCACCTCGATTTCAGCACCTTGTACTGTGAATTTCATTACATTATCACCTGATTTTACCTAATGAATTTCATTGAATTTAATATCCACAGTGCAAGCATGGCATCTCTGTTGCATCAGTAGCAACGAGATTGTGCCGCTTTATCCCATTGCGCAGTGAAGCAGTTTTCCTCTCTTTGGACTTACCTTCAGGAATACGTTCTCTCATCCTGAAGAGAATTCTTTCCCATCGTTGTTGCTTCGCAATTCCAGATATATATCGACACTTGCTCACTCGCGGGTAAAAGCGTTTGATGCGCCTGTGCTCAAGTTCGCCCTATGAAACAATATCAGTACCAAATCAATGGTTATATGGAGCGCTATTAGTACCTACCAACTGAGTTGTGAAGTTATCTGTTGTCCCAAATTGTCTGATAGTATTGACATAATCGCCCAGTGCGTGAAGCTTGTAAGTCCGTAGATTAAACTTCCTGTGCTTCGAGCATCCTTGAGGGTGTTGTTTTGCGGAGTTTCCGTGCGCTAGACTCTGGGCAGCCTCGGGCTGAGCCTTTCGGGCTTGGCGACAGCCACGCGCAGCTTCTTCGCTTGGCAGATCTCGGGTGTCAAATGTTTCTGTTTTGCTAGAAAAACACCTCAAAATCTTGCCAAGTCGAGTTGTGGAGGTATCGAGGAAGGATAGGGTAGTGTCTGTGTGCAGGCGTAACTTTGCCAATCCATGCCATGTAGCCAGTTCAAAGAGGAGGTCAAGGACAAGGGTGTTGAATGGTTCCGGAAGGAGGTCTTCAAACACAGGGATAGCGCACTTGCAAACCTTGATTAGTACGAGTGCGCTGTACTGGTACCACCATTGAAAAACATACCTGTAAAAGATCCTCAAAGTCCCGCACTGCAAGGTTCTTCATACTAGAGGTGTTTCCACTGAACTTGCAGATTGTACCCCTGCTAAATGTTGGTACTTGTCGATAACTGTTGGTGTATATTAATACAAGTAATTACAGCAGTAGTTAAGCGGGAACTCATACCGTTTATTCAGCCGTTGTATTGTGTCATGGCCATATGCATAAAGAACACGGATAAGATGTGTAAAAGTTGCCTTCCAAACTCCCAGTTCGAATTCATGAAGCAGATCAGGGACGAACATAGTGTAAAAGTTGAAACCAAAGCGTGCGAGCTGAGTTGAAAATGCATTCTAAGTAAATCAGCAGGGTAAATAGAATATAGTATGTGCAACATACCGTACTGGGAACAAGAGACTCAGGTGCAAGCATCCGCTTGACAAAGATGCTGGTGATATTGGTGCCCTTGACGTACAACCACTCCCGCACCTGTCTGATTATTGTCCATATGCGATGGCTATCTTCACGTATATTTTGCTGGCGCCATCGTCTGTCGGCCTTGCTTCCGAGATCACCTATCTTGATCTAAGGGATCAGACAGTGTGGACAAGGGCACTGGGCGAGGAATTTAATCGAAGCGAGAAGTGTTCTAATTGAATGAGATAAACTTGAACCAGCTGTAAGTGTCTTTGAAAGATCCTTACTTTTCAGGGTAATCTGCCGAGTAAGTAAAAAACCGAGGAAAGACTCTGCGGGAGACACCATCAAGGCACTCAATGACGATCCCAAACTCGTAAGCGTGCATGAAGTCGTCATCGAGCAGCAATAACCAGATTGCTTGCATCAGCTCGTGTCGACAGTGACTGAGGACCTCAGCTGTCGCAGCCTTCTTGAATGTGTGTCGGTAGAAATCTTGAAAAGTGTCTGTAAGCTGGTGGAAAAGTGTCAAACATGGACAAATTAGAATGATGAAACTCATAGTACTACCTTCGGAATGTATGTGAGATGGTGTGCTGCAAATGATGTTGGCTTACTTCGTACATATTTTGATTGATTCCCTAGGAACATATAAATGGGCCAGAGAGATGCAGTTCTGAAGCTTGCGAGATGGGTTGAGTCTGACCACAGCATCATTGCCACAACCATGGTCTCGAGAGTACAGCCACCCTCTCGGGGCTGTGAACGGATTTTCTTGTGTTCATTGATCATCGCTTGTGAATTGTAGATCTCTCCATAGATTTTCTCTGCAGGAGTATTGTCATCTGGCCGATAAAACATATTGAATGGAGTAAGATGAAAGCATTCTGCAGCTGATTCGTGGAACGCAGCTTTGATGACTTCAAGAGGCTTGCGATAGAATAGGCCAGGAACCTCGAACAGTGGAGCCACGTCTTCAGATGTATGTTGGACTCCGTCAGCAGGGACGCGGATCTTCACGCTAGTTGCTTTCCAACCGTCTAACGGCGAGAATGATGAACAGATATCTTCGAGATCGCCCTGATAGTTGTCAAGGCGATTGCTTTCCTTCAAGGCCCCAAATGCCTTGAGATTAGCCTTGTTGAAGTTTTTTGTGAGGATGACCTCGTTTACAAGACGATCTAAATCGGCCAAAGATTTCATAATGGAGCCACTGTAAAACCAACTCATGAGGCGAAACATTGTGGCATTGAGAAATGGTATGAAGTAATTAGTTGGAGAATGCATTGAGCTACCAAATCCTGACCACCACGGTTTGGCTCCAAGGCTGTCCGGAGTCTTGATAAACATTGGCGAGTCAGACAAATGTGCCATCGAGGTGAAGTTATCAGGATTGTATGATGGAAGGGAATGTGTGTATTGACGATACAGACCATAATGATCTGGTGCTGTGGTGAGAATGACGGGTTGGCTAGAAACTGGGGGGGGGGGGGGGGGTGGATCTGGTATGTTTGTGTTGTCCGAGGTTGAAGGCGGGGCTACCACTGGAATAGGTGGTAAGTCATCACAAAATCTTTTTGGTAAGCGACGGCGGTTTGGTAGACCCGAGGCCCGGTATGCAGGTGGTGACGGAGACCTTGAGCCTGGGTCCTGAACAAGTTGGATATGAAGACGACTCAGATATAATAAATGAATCAATGTACTAGTGGTAACCCTGGCTCAGTAAAGCCTTCACGTATGTCCTGGCGAGCTATTAGTGCTGCTGCCGCATCTTCCTGACGACGTATTTTCACTGATAGCTGGATTTCTCGGTTGTGTCTTCTCTTTGCTAGAGAAGTGGCGACAGCATGGGTTATTTTGCTTGAACAAAACCGCTTGTGAGTACTAAGAGCCCCACGAGAGTCAAATTCTCGATGGTAGCCCCTACATATGTGGGCCATGACGAAGAAAAACACAAAAATGTAGAGATAAGATTTCACCAGCATAGACTCAGCCTGGCAGGAAGCCTCCTTGTCAAGTCGTCAAGCGTCGTTCAAACAGTTGCATGATCACGTGACTCT